TAAAGAGAACCTGTCTCAAAAACAAAAAAACAACAACCAAAAAAAAAAAACCAGGTTTTTATTCCTGGCTAGGTATAGTGGTGCACACATGTAATTCCAGCATTTAGACCACTGAAGACTGACGTAGATTATAGTTTAAGGCCAGCCTGGGTTTTATATATATAAAACAGTGTCCTTCCTCTGCCAGAAACAAAGTAGGGGCTGGAGAGATGATTCAGTGGTTGCAGAGAACACAGGTTCAGCTCCCAGCATGCAGATGGTAGCATCAGGATCCTTTATCTTGTTGGGTGGCAGAGGATCCAGTGCCCACTTCTGACCTCTGCAGGCTCCTTCCTGCACACGCATGCGTGGTACAGATACACATGAAAGTTGAAGTTAGGTCTTTCATGAAGAGGGATAGAGCCTGCCTTAGTAGACAGCCTGCATATGCTTCTTACATAGGTCCGGACATCTGCGGTCCTGGCACCAAGAAGGTCCATGTCATCTTTAACTACAAGGGCAAGAATGTGCTGATCAACAAGGATATCCGGTGTAAGGTGTGTCTGGGGTAGTCATTTAAATGGCTGTCATGGGAGGCCCAGGCAGTAGCCTGGTGGGAGGGCTGCTCACCACCTTCCCTCTTCAGGATGATGAATTCACACACCTGTACACGCTGATTGTGCGGCCAGACAACACCTATGAGGTGAAAATTGACAACAGCCAGGTGGAGTCAGGCTCCTTGGAGGATGATTGGGACTTTCTGCCACCCAAGAAGATAAAGGATCCTAATGCTGCCAAGCCGGAAGACTGGGACGAACGAGCCAAGATTGATGACCCCACCGATTCTAAACCTGAGGTTGGTGCTTGGACAGTGGCTCCACCGCCATCATAGAGCGGAGGACGCCTGGGTTCACTCTGATCTCCGTGTGTACTCCTAGGACTGGGACAAGCCTGAGCACATCCCTGACCCTGACGCTAAGAAGCCTGAGGACTGGGATGAAGAGATGGATGGGGAGTGGGAACCACCAGTAATTCAGAATCCTGAGTACAAGGCAAGCCTGAGTGGTGGGGTGTGGCTCACTGGAGGGATGCTTGCCTGTGGCTGTCTTTAAAATTGCATTGCAGACACAAAAACGAGATGGGCTTTGGGGGTCTAGGCAGGGTTGTTGTTTGTACTGAGGAATATGTCCACCTCTGCTCATCTGGTTCTCTTCTGCAGGGCGAGTGGAAGCCACGTCAGATTGACAACCCAGATTACAAGGGTACCTGGATACACCCAGAAATTGACAACCCTGAATACTCCCCAGATGCCAACATCTATGCCTATGATAATTTTGCTGTACTAGGCCTGGATCTCTGGCAGGTGAGGCACAGGGAAGACAAGGATTCCTGGGAAAGGTCAAGTTGGAGGATCATACTGGTAGATCTGGAGGGAAGAACAGGTGCAGGCACCAACCTCAAGGGGTCCAGACTCCAGAACAGTACATTTTAGGAGGCACTTCCTGTTTTATTTCCTTTTTCTTCACAGCATAAGAGAAAGTTAGGGGTTTTGGAGGTGGGGGTTGATAGGGTTTCTCTGTGTAGCCCTGGCTGTCCTGGAACTCACTCTGTAGACCAAGGCTGACTTCATACTCGGATCTGCCTGCCCCTGCCTCCCAAATGCTGGCATTGAAGGCGTGTGCCACCACCACCTGGTGAGAAAGTTGGTTTTATTCTTAATACATTTTTACATGTTTTGTATGTATGTGACTGCACATACGGAGGTCATGAAAACTAAGAGAAGTTGCTTCTCTTCATCATGTGTGTCCTAGGAGTCAGCTCTGGCAGCACGTGCCTTTATTTGGCCCCACTGAGCACCTTTCTACAGGACTACTTTGTTGAAGTACATGTGCAAAATCTGCTCAAATCGCCCCAATTAGAACTCTGACCACCCTGGCCACATAAAACAAACAAGACTTTAAAAAAAAAACAAAACCAAAAAAACATTGGTACTGAATTTTTGTCATTGGTATGTTTTCTCTGCCCAGGACTATTCTTGGTATGTGTTAAGTTGGTACCTGAAAAAGTAAGTCCCCAGTGTGCCAGTGTGCCTGTTTTTACAGAGGAAGGAGTTGTGTGAAAAGTGAAGTCAGTAGCACAGGTCACTAGGACAGAGGTTTCAGTCCTGAAAGCATAGCTTTTGAACTGCGGTATCCCCAGTGTCATACCTTTTTTTTTTTTTAAAAAGATTTATTTATTACGTATACAGTGTTCTATCTGCACGTGTCCCTGCAGACCAGAAGAGGGCATCATTACAGGTAGTTGTGAGCCACCATGTAGTTGCTGGGAATTGGACTCAGGACCTCTGGAAGAACAAGGAGTGCTCCTAATTGCTGAACCATCCCTCCAGCCCCGTCATACCTTTTTTAAAGATTTTTGAGGCAGGCTGGTCTTCATATATATCCTCAGCTGTCTTGGAATTCACCTTGTGGCCCAACCTGGCCCGGAATTCTTTCTTCCTTGCCTTCCCACTGCACCAACACACACACGCACCCCTTTTGGGGGTGGGGGGGACGACAAGGTTTCACTATGTAAACCAGCTGGCTTGGAACTCCATGAGTAGTCGGGCCTCTGCCTCCTTAGTGCTAGGATTAAAGGCATGTCCTGCTACATACACCTGCTGCCCCACAGGGTGGAAATAGAGCCCTGTTCAGAGCCAGGGCTGTCAGAAGTCACTGCTGACCATCTGTTTTTCCATTCTTCCTCAGGTCAAGTCCGGCACAATCTTTGACAACTTTCTCATCACCAACGATGAGGCCTATGCAGAGGAGTTTGGCAATGAGACATGGGGTGTCACCAAGGTGGGCCGGGGTTCTTACTAGGGTCAGCTGGAGGGACTGACAGGCAGGTGAGAGCCAGGTACTAAACCGGTGTGGTCCGTCTCCACAGGCTTCTGAAAAGCAGATGAAGGACAAGCAGGATGAAGAGCAGAGGCTGAAGGAAGAAGAAGAGGACAAGAAGCGTAAAGAGGAGGAAGATGCTGAGGACAAAGAGGATGAAGATGACCGAGATGAAGATGAGGAAGATGAGGATGAGAAGGAGGAAGATGAGGAGGAGGCCCCTGGCCAGGCCAAGGATGAGCTGTAGAGGCCACGCCACCTGCCTCCAGGGCTGGACTGAGCCTGGACACCCCGCTGCAGAGCTGGCTGCTCCCAATAATGTCTCTATGAGACTCAGGAACTTTTCATTTTTTTCCAGGCAGGTTCAGATCTGGGGTGGATTCTGATTCTGTGCCCCCCCACCCATTTTTTTTTTTACTGGTGTTTGTCTTAATTCTCCTTCAGCCCTCACCTCCTGGCTTCTCATTTGAATCAACATCTTTTCCTTGTGTCCCTTTATCTCTCAACCCGTGGTCACTGCCCTCCAACTCCAGGAACAAGGGTGTGGAGGAAAAGTCCTAGGCTTGATATTTCAATCTGCTCTCCTTCCTGGATCTCAGAGGAGGGCAGGAGAAAGGGTGGTGTCCCCCCACCCCCAGCACTGAGGAAGAATGGGGGTCTTCTCATCCCCTTTCTCCCTTGCCCCCAGGACTGGGCCACTTGTGGGGCAGCCAGTTCTGCACAGCTCACACTGAGAGTGTAAGAACTACAAACAAAATTTCTATTAAATTAAGTTTTGTGTCTTCCCTACCGTGTCTCCTTCTCTGGGAGGATGTACGTCAGGGAATCAAAAGTGGCCTTTCGGGGTGCTGGTGGCTCACGTTTGAGCTATTAGAGTTGGCAGAGTCCCACAAAATGACATGGGTGTATATATGTATATCCTGTAATTTCAAGCGGGAGAGCAGCTGTCAGGTTTTGATGCCCGAACTCCCTATAGTAAGTAATTCCCTTGTCCTGGTAACAGACGTGAGTGACAGGCTGACTGCTGGCTAGAGCTTAGTGACTGCTGGGGCCAATATGTGAAATGAGCCTTAATCCTAACAGTCTTGTTACAGTGGGGTGGATCTCTTGGTCTGCTTTCTGAGACTACTACATAGGATAGTTGTGAAATTTCAAGCCTCACATCAGTGGGGTGAATGCTGGTAGCTCATTTTATAGTCAAGGAACTAAATTCAGAGTGACTGGCTTAACCCAAGGGCCCATGCTTCTAGGACTGAGCTGATAGAAAAGGGATTGGTCCAAGGACTGGGTTATGTTCAGTTGGAGATGGCTTACCTAGCATGCCCTGGCTTCCAGCCATACCACAAGAGGAAAGAAATGGCATTCAGGGGACTGGGCTTCACAAGGTTGTCATTTAAACTCCAGTTGGAAAGTAGGCAGAAGGCCTGTGTTCTTAGAAGGAAATTGATCTAGCCCTTTGCCAGAACCTTGCCAATTCTGAAGGAGTCTAGGCTGCTCAGGTGACCGGAGGGAGGCAGGTCTTTGGTAACTGACTAGTCACTGGTGTGGCTAGAAACATTCAGCAAAGCAAGCTGTAAAGTAGTGAGTAGTTAGGTCGTCGGTTTGGCATAAGGGGATGTTGATGCTTTTCACATTCTCTTTACTGAGAGCTTAAGCATAGCTTCACTTTAGCCCCTTAAAATCACCCTGGATGAAGTGCCCCAGCCTCCCATGTCTGACGTTTTCATTACCTTTTAGTGTGTGATGGTGGCCTAAGGCTTCTTAAAATAGTCCTTATCTTCTGGAAAAATGTGGGTGCAAGCAAGGGAAATCTATGGAGGGAAGAATTGATGTATTGTAAAGGAGCCTTGAAAATGTTTAGATATTTTTGAGGTGTTTAATGAACGGTCAGTCATTGGAGATTACGAAGAGGTAGGGGACCCATGAACTCGAAGTGAGTTTATCCCAAAAGTTAATAAGGTAGTCCTTGAAAATGGAGTCTCATAAGTGACCCTGTTTTCTACCTTTGAGATTTATGGTAACTTCCCTTGTTTTAGGTTTGAGGGGGTCATTTAGCAGTGCTCTGCGGGGTTCCTTTGGCCAGATCCGAATTAGGTCACTATATGTATAACCAATACCATAAAAACTTGGAGTCAGGGGAGGGCTTAGAGGCCATGCTGCGGGCATATGACATCACTATTGACAGGCATGACGTCATCCAGACGACGCGATGTCTGTCCACAGCAAAGCTCAAAGCTGAATTGTTTGCGCATGTCTAAGGTAAGGAAGTGCTACCGCGCATGCTCCAGAGGTCAGGGAGTGGTTACAAGCGGGTCACACAAGCTGACGATATACGCGCGCTTCCCACTTGCCCCGGAAGTGCTTGAAGCACGGCGCAGCTGGGCGCTAAGATGGCCGCGGCGTGAGTTGCATGTTGTACGAGGATCCCGGGCTGCCGCATTGCTCCGGCCCCGCCATGGCCGTCACCATCACACTTAAAACGTTGCAGCAGCAGACCTTCAAGATACGCATGGAGCCTGAGGAGACGGTGCGGGCCGGAGCCCAGGGGCGGGAGCAACCGGGGGCCAGGGTGGGTGGGGGCAGGGAGGCCCGGATCCAACGGGAGGGGCGGGGAGGACGTGCGGCCGGACCCTGCTCCCCTTCCCCAGCTGCCCGACCTCCTCGGATCCCCCCACCGACTCTGCCCTGCCCCGGCGACTCGGGCGCCATTCCCGGGCTGGTCCCAGGGCGAGTCCCCAGGCCCGCTCTGGTGTCAGCCGCCGGCTCCGTGTCCCCAGCCTGCAAGCTGCTCGGGTGGCCCAGGGTGGCATCAGTGGCTAAGAGGTGCCAACCGGTGACGACAATGTTGATGACAATAAATGGTCTTGGTCTTAATAGTTTTGGTCGTCCGTGTTTGTTGGCCGGTTATTCTTTACCAGTGTCATCTTGCTGAGTCTGCGAAAGAGTGTTGTCCTTTGGGGACTCCTGACGCCCTCCTTTGACAGCCTCAGAGTTAAGGAACTTTACCATGGTCACAGCAAGTATTGGCAGAGATAGGGTTAAAATTCTTTCTGTTTCATGACAGCAGCCTCAACATGCTGCGTGAACTTATGTTTGCTTTTGCTTTTTGAGCGTGAGGTCTTGTTTTCCAATGTGGCTCAAGTGATCTGTATTGCCTTAGCCTCCCAAGTAGGTGGTAGTACTGACCTGGGCCATCTCCCCTGAACCTTCTGTACTATGAAGCCACTTGTATACCCCCAGTGAAGTCTAGACATGATGGTCATGTATATAATCCCTGAACACTGAGGCTAAGACAGGGGGATTGTTTTTAGTTCCAGGCCAGCCTGAGCTACAGAATAAGACCCTGTTACAAAAAAACGAGGGGAAAAGGAAGTCCTCAATAAGTACAGAACAGCTGGAGGCCAGCGGTGGGTAGACCCTTTCATTTCCTTACTGCGCTTTCCCTTCTCAACCACATGGCATCTGAAATACAAGTTTGATTTTCTTCTCCAGAACAGTGACTGACGAGTTCTGTTCTGCTCCAGAAGCCGTTGTAAAACAGGGTTTGGGGATGGAGCTCTTGTGGAACACTTAGTATGTGCAGGCCCTGGGTCCATCCCTAAACCACCACCACCACCACCACCACGCAATAGAGTGCTGTCAGCTGGCCAGAATGAACAGGAATCTCATGATGAAAGCAAAGCTTTTTCCCTAAAGTAAAAGGGTCGGGAAAGGAGTCCTTATTTTATTTGAGACAGTTTCACTGTATATCCCTGGCTAGCCTGGAACTCACAAGTGATCCACTTGTCTCTCCCAAGTGCTGGGATTAAGTGTGTGCACAACCTTGCCTGGACTTCACTGAGGGTATCTTAGAGTGTTAGCGCTATTTGTGAACACACACCACACTACTAAAGTCTTGTTTTTAATGCCTGTATTCCTTATTCCAGGTGAAGGTCCTGAAAGAGAAGATAGAAGCTGAGAAGGGCAGAGATGCTTTCCCTGTGGCTGGACAGAAACTCATCTATGCTGGCAAGATCTTGAGTGATGATGTCCCCATCAAGGAATACCATATAGATGAGAAGAACTTTGTGGTTGTCATGGTGACCAAGGTGGGTAGATTAGCTGGGATGCTGGCAAAGACCTTGTGTGCCCAGGAGAGATTAGCTGTAGGCAGGGTGGGGCTGTGGCGGGGCAGGGTGTTGAGGCTTGATAGGGGTGCTGCTGCCTGACCCCCTTCTTGCTGTCACAGGCCAAGGCTGGCCAAGGTACTCCAGCACCCCCGGAGGCCTCGCCCGCTGCTGCCCCGGAGGCCTCTGCACCCTTCCCTCCAGCTCCGGCATCAGGCATGTCCCATCCTCCACCTACCAGCAGAGAGGACAAGAGCCCATCAGAGGATTCAGCCACCCCAACATCTCCAGAATCCATTTCTGGGTAAGGAAGAACAGTAGCCTTACCTGTGCCCTTCTTCTGTTCCTTCCAGTGTGGTCCCATCACTTGCGGGGAGGGCAAGCCACCAGAAGCCAGGGTCCGATTTCTCTCTCTTGAATTTGCAGCTCTGTTCCCTCTTCAGGTAGCAGCGGGCGAGAGGAAGACGCAGCTTCCACATTAGGTGGGTGGGTGGTCCTCAGGGCAGAGGCGACTGGGAGACCCAGCTATCAGCCTTTGACAGCCTTGTCTGGGTCTGGGAGGGTCTGGGAGCTGCCCTCCTGTGCTCCTGGTGACCCAGGCCCTGCTGCTCCCTCCACAGTGACTGGCTCTGAGTATGAGACGATGCTGACTGAGATCATGTCCATGGGCTACGAGCGGGAGCGGGTTGTGGCCGCATTGAGGGCCAGCTACAACAACCCCCACAGAGCTGTGGAGTACTTGCTCACGGTGAGGGAGTCTCCAGGTTGTGGTGCCTCAACAGGCAGTGGAGGTAGATCCTACCCCATAGGATCTTGGGTATCGTGTGTTGCCACCGAAGGCTTCCAAAAGAGCCCGGACAGAGAGCATGGAAGGCAGGGATGAGGCCTTCCAGTCTCCTGTCAGGCTGATCACTTGGGAGGGGGAAGTGGGTCTGTTGGAGAGAATTAAAAAGCAGGATCCTTGACAGGGAATTCCCGGAAGCCCCGAACCAGAACATGGTTCTGTCCAGGAGAGCCAGGTACCCGAACAGCCGGCCACAGAAGCAGGTGAGTAGGATGGATGATTATGTGTGGGCACCTACAGTCTAGACTCAGGAGCCCCTGCGGGGGTCTCACCACACCTCTTCCTGCCACTAGCAGGGGAGAACCCCCTGGAGTTCCTGCGCGACCAGCCCCAGTTCCAGAACATGCGGCAAGTGATCCAGCAGAACCCAGCGCTGCTCCCAGCACTGCTGCAGCAGCTGGGCCAGGAGAACCCTCAGCTCTTGCAGGTGCGGCCCAGGGCGAGGGAACTGAGGCAGGTGCCTTCTCCAGTTCCTTAGGGGACCACCCAGGGACTTAGCTTTGCTCGAAGAAAGCAGAACTAGCACAGGCCTAGTCCCTGGCTCCCTGAAGACCTCAGGGTTATGTGTAATCAGACTCCCACGAGGTGTGGGTGCTGCTGACATCCCCTTGCTGAAGAGGTCAAGCCCAGAGCAGGCTGCCATATGTCTGGGTCCTGGACTCTGACCACAGCGCTCTCCTGGGTTCTTGCTGTACCTGTAGACCCTCTTCCTGCTTCTCATTCCTGGCCTTTTTCCTGATCTGACCCTCACCCTGACCCTGTGTGCTGTCTTGAACCCGTGTCATCCACCAGAAGCCTTGGAACACTCATCTGAGCTATGAGAGGACTTCCTGGACCTCTTGAGTTTTCAGGTCCACTTGTTTCTGCCCTGGGCCTCTGGCAGCCTCCTGGGAACTGTCTCTGCTTCTACCCCACTGGCAGCACGTCTCCCACCCAGTGTCTTGGCATCTTCCTCTCATGTCTCCTGATTCTACACAGTGCCCCTGTGAACTGTCCAAGAAGCCAGATTGCTGAAAAGGTCATTTTTAATGTGGAAATAGTCAGATGTCTGCAGAAGCCAAGGGCTGCATCAGAACCTCTGGTTTCTTCTAAGTCGAGTGTATTTAATAGGTTTCAGGGCTGAGTGTGGTAGTGCAAACCTGTAAGCCCAGCACTAGGAGGCTGAGGTAGGAGGGTCACTGACCTTGAAGCCAGCTCCTTCTATTAGTGAGATCATCTCAAAGAAGACAGAAAGGAGAGAAAGGCTGCACAGGGTAGGAGTGCCTCCGTAGTGGAGTGCTGGTGCTTAGGTTGAGGCCTGGGCTCACTTGCAAACCACAAGGAGAAGTAGGAACTGCCTGTCTGCCACTGTGGCTTCCACTGCCCCAGGAGAAAGAGAGGTCTCCCCAGGCTTTCTGTGCTGTTGGCGCTCCAGAGCTCTTCTGAGCCTTGCCCAGGAGATCCACCCCAGGGCACTTCCACTTGGCGCCTGTTTTAGCCAGAGGCAAGCTCCCCTCTTCTGCAAGACAGTTGGTCCCTCCCACAAAGCCTCAGTGACTTAACTAGCGTATCTGCAGTTACTTGAACTTTTTTCTTTAGTCTCACTATATAGGTTAGACTGGCTTCAAACTCATGGTGGTCCTCCTGCTTCAGCTTCTTCCCAAGTGCTGAGATTACTGGTATGAACCACCATGTCTAGCTTTGGTACATTTATTTACTTTTTGTTTGTCTTATTGAGACATGTAATTGAGACAAAACATAGCCCTGGCTAGCTTGAAACTCCTCTGTAGACCAGGCTGGCCTCAAACTCCGCCTCCCCAGTGCTGGGATTAAAGGCGTGTGCCATCATGCCCATCTCCCCAGCATAGCCATGGCTACGTGGCTGTTTGGCCGGAGCAGGTACCTTCAGAGCGTTAGTGTTTAAGCAAGGGCTGTAATGGGATCCAGCATACATGTCAGTGACTGTGGGCTGTCCTCGTTCTCCTTTTTCTCACAGCAAATCAGCCGTCACCAGGAGCAGTTCATCCAGATGTTGAATGAGCCCCCTGGAGAGCTGGCGGACATCTCTGATGTAGAGGGAGAGGTCGGTGCCGTAGGCGAGGAGGCCCCGCAGATGAACTACATCCAGGTGACACCGCAGGAGAAGGAAGCTATAGAAAGGGTAAGAGGCCTGGCTGAAGGGCCACTCATGGTGGGCAGCCCCCTGCCTCCCTCCTTCTTACCCCTGCCCATCTTCCCACAGCTGAAGGCACTGGGCTTTCCAGAGAGCCTGGTGATCCAGGCCTACTTCGCGTGTGAAAAAAATGAGAACTTGGCTGCCAACTTCCTCCTGAGTCAGAACTTTGATGATGAGTGATGCTGGGAGGCCAGAATGCCCCCACCCCACTCCACAAAAGTTTTATAAAAGAAAAAAGTGTGTGTGTGTATGTATATATATAAAATATATACATACACACACATACATATATATATATATATTCATGTTTATTTAAGAGGAAGAAAAAAATCAAAAACAATTTAAAAAACAGAAGAAAAAACACCTAGCCCAGATTCCTACCTTCCTGAAGTGGCCCCTATTCCCATCTCAGTCCGACAAGACCTGGGCCAGACAGCTGTCCCCATCCTCTTAACAGAGCCCAGCCTGCTCAAAGTTGCTGGCAAGACCAGGAGGCGACAGATGGGCCCCTTTTGGCCTCTGTCCCAGCTCCCTGCAGCCAGATGGAGAGGCGCCTGCCTGCTTCCCCATCCCCTGAAGCATCCCTAAGGACAACCCACCTCCCTCCTCCATGATGAGGGGAAGCTGGAGCCCTAAACTTTATCCTCCATTGGAGTGGCCCAAATCTTTCCATCTGGAGTGGGTTCATTAGAAGCCCAAGGCCTTCTCCCAGCCTGGCCTTGGCCTCCAGCCTGGAGAGGAGGTAACATCAGTTCTGAAGGCCAAGGCCAACCCTACCCCAGGACAGAACCACATCTCTGATAAAGGTTTTGAAGTGAATAAAGTTTTAAAAATGAGCCCTAAAAATGGTGCGTGCCTACTGCAGCTTCTCACACCAGCTTCCCATCTGTGAGCTAGCTGGGGCACGGGTGACATGGCCATGCTGAGAAGTGGACGCGGCCTCTGAGCCTCACCTGAGGGCCCCAGCATCTCTGCCCTGCCTGGCCCAGCCCTAGAAGGGCTGCCGCTCCCTCTATCGTGCAGACTTTGGCTGTGCTCCCCTGGTAACTGGCTAATTACTGGAGATTAATGTTGGTAAACAGAAGCCTTCTCCACTGCCATCTGCTCCTTCATTATTTGCCATCCAGTCCCTCTTCTCTGTCCCTGAAGCCCCAGTTCATGGCATGGTCTAGTGTCCAGGTGTGTACACAGCCCAGGTGTTGGGGAACGAGCCAGGGGACCCAGGAAAGTCACAACCTGAGGGAGAACGTGTAGAATAGGGGCTGTCAGCAGCAGGCTTTATTAGGAGAGGGGCTTTCAGGAGCTGGGTTCCCCAGACACTGCCGGGTCCTGGGCTTCAGTCAAAGCCATAGCAGCAGCCTGCGCCTCCTTCTTCTGCCGCTGTCTCTCCTCCTTGAGGCGCTTGCGCTGCTGCTTGTCTAGGTCCTGTACCAGTTCCTGGAAGCGGGCACTCCTTGGGTCCACGTGGTAACCCAGGCGCTCCTGGGCCTCAGCCTGTAGCCGGGCCCTGCGCTCCTTGTCAGCCTGAGCTTTCTCCCAGCGTTCCCGCTTCTGCTGTCGCCAGGTCTCAATCATCTGTGGCATCTTGGCCATGCACTCTGCAATGTGCTGCTCCCTGCAGAGGAAAGCAGACAGTGAGGGGCAGACCAGGCAACCCTGTTCACCCAGCTGTCTACTAAACCATGCTCATGCCTGGGTCATGGCTGCCCTCCTTGACTGCACACGCTGTTACCTGCCAGGTCCACATTCAGGCACAGAAACAACTGGATGTTTCCTTCTGGTCCTGAGAATTAGTAGGTCCACTCATATCTTACTCAGTCTTGAAACAGGAAAACTGAAGGAATCAAGCCTTATGGCAGGACAGGCCCATCCAGCTGGGTGGGACAGATGGGGGACCAGCTCCATCCTTCACTGCCAGCATGACTCTGGACAGCCGACATGGCTTCTCCAGGCCTCAGTTTAATCTGTGAAAAGGGTGATCTTGTCTTTTCAGAATTGTTGAGAGGACAAGGTTAAATACCAGGAGCACATTTCACCTGCCCTGCACCGTCAGGGCATCGTCCAAACGTCTGTGTGGCTTGCCTTCACTTTCTTCCTTTCCGATCTGGTCGTTCACAGGTTCCTCCTTCACAGGTGTCTGCCTGGACTTCAGAACCCAGCACCCTCACCAGCCACACTGGCCTAGTGCTTCAGGGCACACCGTAGATAGTTTAAAATCAACTTTCTTTTTGTGCGTGTGTGGTTTTGTTAAGACAGGTTTTCTCTGTAGTCCTGGCTGCCCTGGAACTTTGTAGTGTAAAGGCTGGCCTTGATCTCACTCACAAAGAACTGCCACCAGGGTGCTGGTGGCACCCATCACCAATTGCCTGACATTTTTTTAAAGACAGAGTCTTACTCAGCGATCCACCTGCCTCTGGCTCCAGATGGCTAGGAGTAAAGGTGTGCTCCCATCATGACTAGTTTACTTACGATAAAAAGGTCTCACTGAATAGCTGTGAGGGCTGTCCTCAAACTCAGAATTCCCCCTTTGCCTCTGAACCATGTCTTCTCCAAAGTTACAGGCATGTGCCACTAGGCTTGGCTCAACCTCAGTAACTGCACCACCTGTCCCCTTTACTGGGAACTCTCCTTGAGATTTTTCCAGTAAATATAACGGGTTATATGAGGCTTTGCTTAAACATCATAAGGAGGGGCAAACTGATGTGTTCTCCTGCATGCGCCCCCCCCACACACACACACTTTTTTTTTGTTTGAGACAGGGTCTCTCTGTATCCAGAAACTGCCTCTGCAGACCAGGCTGGCCTCGAACTCACTGAGATCTGCCTTCCTCTGCCTCCTGAGTGCTGGGATTCAAGGCGTGTGCCACCACTGCCTGGCCCCAGTATGCACAAGAACCATGTTTTGTCTTCCCAAGGGTCCCTTGTAATCTTGAAATTCCTGCACAGAATATTCAGTAAAGATAAAACAGTTGAGACTGGGCCTGGTACAGGCCTGTAATCTCAGATATTTGGAAAGTAAAGACAGATGGATTCTAGATTCAAGGCCAGCCTGGGCAACATGAGTTATGGTTAATAGTGAGACCTTGTTAATACAGCTCAGTGGTAACGGAAGAGGAAAAGTAAAGAACACAAAAACTGCAGTTGAGTGACTACAAGAATTTACCTAGAAGTTTGTTTTTCAGCCAAGTGAACCTGTACGTTACCCTACGCCACCAGGACTCCGCACGCCTCTCACGGAGGATCCGTGGTTTCGGGGCCGTGGGTCCCCTGCCCCCACACACGCACCTGGCACGACGCCTTGCCTCCTCGGCCTCCTGCTTCGCGCGCAGCGACTCTTGCATGGTCGCTAGGCTCGGGTACCATTCCCGCTCCTCCGCCTCCAGCTCGCGCAGCTGCTCCGGGGACGGCCACAGGGAGGCGGGGGCCACCCCCGAGGCGGCGCCGTGCCGCGCGAACTGCTTGGCCGCATAGCGCGGCCCTAGCTGCCATCGCGGGCTCAGCAGGTTCTCCGGGTCTGGCCACTGGGGTCCGGGGCGGCGGCGCGGGGGCGGCGGCGCATGGTAGTTGCAGGACCTGGGGCCCAGAGCTGCCGGGAGCCGCAGGAGGCCGCGCGCCGGCGTCGCGGCTGCCGCCATCTTGGCTGTGGGTCCTCGCGGCGGCGGGCTGGCTAGGGCGCTGCCTGCGCGGCGGCAACCTCGGGGTGGGGGCTGGGGAGCTCGGGTCCGGGAGCCCAGGAGCTCGACTACAGTCGATGCAGTGGGTGAACATTTAATGCAGGGAGCAGTAGTTTGTTAAAATAATATATGGCCAGGCGTGGTGGCGCCGTCTGTAGTCTGTAATCTCGGGAGGCAGAGGCAGAGGCAGGCAGATCTCGGTGAGTTCAAGGCCAGCCTGGGCTACAGAGTGAGTTCCAGAACAGCCAGGGCTGTTGTACAGAGAGACCTTGTCTCGAAAAATAGATGATAGATAGATAGATAGGTAGATAGGTAGAGAGAGAGATAGAGATAGATACATACATACATACATACATACATACATACATACATACATGAATTGGAGGAGGGGCGTGTGGGTGATTAAGTGGAGGTCAGAGGACGACTTGGGGAAGTCGTCCTTTCCTTCCACCATGCGGGTTATGGAGATAGAACTGCCCTCGTCCCCCATGGTGGCACATGCACGAGTCTCCTCACGGGTCCTCATTTGGGGATTTCTGGAATATGGTACCACTCTGTAGTCGGGTCAGCCTGGAACTTCTTGCAGGACTCAGGATGGCACCGAGGTTGTGGCAGCCCTCATAGGGCAGGCAGCCTGGCCAGTGCTGGAATGACCGGGAAGGAGCCTGTTTAAAATAAAACTTAAAACTGGCGTGCTAGTAATATTTAAATTCACATATGTAACATTTTAATTTTTGGTTTTGAAATCTTATGTTTTAAATATTTCCATTTTTGTATTTTATTTTCCCCACATATTAATGCTTTTTATCTCTCTAATATATTAAATATTTCCATTTTAGTATCTAGGTTCATGTTGTGTTGCCTTTTAAATCTTTTTTTTTGTTTGTTTGTTTGTTTGTTTTTTTGTTTTTCGAGACAGAGTTTCTCTGTATAGCTCTGGCTGTGCTGAAACTCGGTCTACATGTAGACCAGGTTGGCTTCGAACTCGGAGATCCACCAGCCTCTGCCTCCTGAGTGCTGGGACTAAAGGCGTGCGCCACCACTGCCCAAACGCCTTGTAAATCTTTTTCTAAAAGACTTTTTCCGTTTTCCATTTGTGAGTGTGTGTGTGTGTGTGTGTGTGTGTGTGTGTGTGTGTGTGCATGCCACGTGTGTGGGCACCAGTGGAGGCCAAATTAATTCTCTGGAGCTGGGCTCACCGGCTGTTGTCAAAGGGCTTGGGTACGGAACCGAACTCAGGTCCTCTGGAAGAGCAGGACCGCTGAGCCATCTCTCTCTCCAGCTCCTTGCGTTCCATCTGCTTTGTTTTTTGTGTTTTTTAAGTCTTACTATGTGGTGCTGGCTGGCCTGGAACTCACTGTGGACTAGGCTGGCCTCCAACCCACCGAATTCTGTCGGCCTCTGCCTCTGCAGTTCTGAAATTAAAGAGACCCCCATGTCCATTTTGCCTTGTATCTTTTAAACATTTCAGACCTACTTTATGGGATTTGGTATATATGACTCAGTTCATGGTGTGCTTGCCTGACAAGCACACAGCCCTGAGTTATCCTTGTGCTGGGTAAGCTAAGCATGGTGGTGCATACCTGTTAATCCTGACCCTGGAGAGATGGAGTCCAGAGGATCCGAAATTTAACGTCGGGGCTGGAGGGATGGCTCAGAGGTTAAGCTCTGGCTGCTCTTCCAGAGTCCTGAGTTCAATTCCCAGCAACTACATGATGGCTCACAACCATCTACAGTGAGCTCTGGTGCCCTCTTCTGGCCTGCAGCCATACATGCAGGCAGAACTGTATACATAAATACATTTTTTTTTTTTAAGATTTATTTATTATGTATACAATGTTCTGCCTGCGTGTATGTCTGCAGGCCAGAAGAGGGTACCAGATCTCATTCTAGGTGGTTGTGAGCCACCATGTGGTTGCTGGGAATTGAACTCAGGTCCTCTGGAAGAGCAGTCAGTGTTCTTAACCTCCAATCCATCTCTCCAGCCCTACATAAATACATCTTTAAAAAAAAAAAAAAATTAAGCCAGGCAGTGTTGGTGCTCACTTTTAATCCCAGCATTCGGGAGGCAGAGGCAGGTGGATCTCTGTGAGTTCGAAGCCAGCTTAGTCTACAGAGCGAGATTCAGGATAGGCTCCAAAGCTACACAGAGAAACCCTGTCTCGAAAAAAAA